CTTATAAGTTAAATGATATTCTGTATTTACAAATGTAGCTACAAATGGTTTAATAAAGTACTACTATGACTGCTTAAAGGAAAAAAAAAAAAATAAAAAAAAATAAAAAGCTTTATTTTTTTGCTTATAAAATTGCCTTTCTAACTATTAAAAAATAGAAGAATATATGAAATTGTATCATCAAAAAAAGATGATGATAAAATCAATATTTATAATTTTCTAATAACTAAAGAAAAAAATTGTAATTATATTTATTATTGGTATTACAATCAAAAAATTCTGAAGATAAAAGATGTAAAGATTATGCTATTACACATTTATATAATAATATATATTACTTTCAAAAAGGTTCTGTTTCTAAACATAATCATATATCAGAATTATATAAAGTTGAGATTGCAAAAGTTACAAACCAAATTAAAAAGCAAGCTAAAGAAACAAATAACAAACCTATAAAAATTGTTCAAGACAATGTTGTTAATACATTAGAAGAATTTTATTCTTATTATCTATAATTAAATACTCTGTACAGAACAATTAATTATGTTCAAAAAATAGAATTATCATCTTAACTACAAAGTATTGTTAAATTAAATATACCAGAATCACTTAAATTTACTTTAGATAGTAACTTATTTTTAATTAAAAATCAAATTATTAATAATGATGAATGAATACTTGTTTTTACTACATCTGAAAATATTAAGTATTTATTCTGAGTAGTATACTGAATTATGAATGGCATGTTTCAAACTGTTCTTACAATTTTTTACTAATTGTATACAGTTCATGCTTCTATTGGTTTACAGAATAATTCTAAAATATTTTTTCTTGTTTATGCATTGATGACAAATAAATCTACAAAGCACTATAAATTGTTATTTGAAATATTGATTAACTTTGTAAAAAAAAATAGGTTAGAATTAAATTTGACAGTAATTATTACAGATTTTAAATTTGCAACTATTAATATGTTATGTTATATGTTTCTTAGTATGATTAATAAATCATGTTTTTTTATCTAAACCAAAATAGTTAACAAAAAATTTAAAAATATAGATTAGCAGGTAAAATATATTTTATATTTAATTAATATATAATTTATATTTTTGAATTTATTTAAATTAAAAATTTTTTTTTTAATATTAATAGTGAAGCCATGCCTCTATCTTTATTGAATATTTATTTAAAATTTTTACATAAAGTATAAATTTACTATTAAAAATATTATAA